AAGAACTTTATCACTAAAACGTTGGCATGAGGCAAGTGACAAAACACATAAGTACATGTGTCAAATAATATATGGGTTGAAGAGTATGTGTATCGATCTAATGAAAAAAGAGTTAAGAATGAGTGAATCTCTAGTTTACTAGCTTTAGCAACCGAGCCTGTCATTATCACAAATATAGAATCAAATCCTAAAATTCTAAGTAAGAATCTAAAAACTAAAGCAAGTTCTTAAAAATTAAAAGCAAGTTTCTCAATGTTCTTTAGGTGAGATGAGGCCCGTAACTTTGTGACACGGGTGTAGTGTAAGTTTGTAATTTTCCTAAGTGTTCCCCTACGAGATAGTTGGCAATTAGGGAATTAGGGATAAAATTTCAACTTGGCCTATCCATAGTCCTTAAGAAGAACAAAAAACCTATACAGTTAAATTTTGCTTAACCATACATTGTTTTCCATAATTTTCAGTTCATGTATCTCTGTTGCAAAACTCTAGTGAGAATATGTCTATCTCACTACGTTTTTGTGGTTAGCCTATTCATTCCACTATGCAATGGGTAGGAGTCATAGTTTATGATAAATTTAACATCCTAATTAGCTAGACCATGAGTAAAAAAAATTGACATGCTAACTCAACAACTTGACGAAGCTCAAGAAATGTTTATAAGGAAAACGAGTTAGAAAAATAAAAAAGATCCACTATCTCTACATCATAGAGGCACAAATGAGATTTAACTATTCATTATTAAAAGAAACAATTCAAGAAAATAGAAACAAATAATGCAAGTAGCAATACAAAATAAAAATAACTTATAATAAAAAATTTCCTCAGCCATACAAGCAGCTATCCTTTCTCTCATATAAGCTCCTCTCAAAGAAAATACAAAATAAATAGCCCTCAAGGCTTCCTCTCTTAAACAATTAAGAATAAACCCTAAGGGAATTATAAAGATCTCTTAATTCCTTTCAAACCCAAGCCTCCATCAGCCAAAAGATGTCCCAAGATGTGTCTTGACATCTATGCTTATGGCCCAGATCCAAGTTTAGTAGGGAGATATCTTTCTAAGTTGATAGGCTTCAGTGGCGTGACCACACCCGATGCCAGCGTAACCACACCATCTTAGTCGAAGAAGCAACCTAACCATGCCAAATCATGACGTTGTTACGATGAACCCAATTTAGCCACTCATAGGTTTAGTGTAATTAAACCGACTATATAGAGAAGGTTGTGGAACTACACCACTTTTTTTTGCGGTTAAGCCTGTCTCACTTATATAAAGATATTGTTTCTTTGCTCTGAAATGCACATTATAAACTGCAAAGACCAAGAACAACCTGCTATAAGCTTAAAAATTGATAAATTAAGATTAAGGGCAGAATATAATGCACGAAAAATACATAAAATTGTGTTCTATCAATAGACGTGCTAAAATGTGGCGTGATTACATTAGAAACTAAATTTTGTTTGTTTGAGCTACTGAGCTCCCCCGAAGCCCTAAAATTTTACTCTACATGATATAGCCTCTTAAGAAAGGATGGATGAACGTTTTGGCCAATAGATGTTTGACAAAAAATGATCAATAATTGCAATAGAATGATTACATCAACAAAGAAAATGAGATTAAAAAATAAAATTTATTTGTGAAAAGACATTAAAATTACAGAAGGAGCCAAAAATTTAGCAAGAATTAAAAAAAAAATTCAAGGAGGGCAGTCGCCACTTTTGGTGAAAGATACCGTAGACAGAATTCTCTTATGCAAAATTCTCTCCCCCTCGCCTCCCCTCCCCTCCCCTCAATAAGTAAATTGATTCAGGCGATCCTTCTCGACTAGAGCTCGGTGTATCATGGATGCTTCTTGGATGTCTGATAGTTTTTAACCGAGAAGGGCCTCAACCTCCTCCTTCGTCTCCGCTTTCCTCACACCATTCATTCGCTCGCTTATCTCGTCACCTAAATGGATCCCGACCGTCAAATTGAAGGAATTTTTTATCTCTTTCAGACAGCGAGCCATCAATTTGAGAGATGGTCGGTGCCCATCAACTAGCTTTTCATGGGCTTTGGAGGATCATTGGATCGTCCACTATGTCATCCTCACTTGAGAGTCATTTACCCTCGGTCGACACCTATTTTGTTAACGATCGCATCTCAGTCAGATTCTCGTTGATGCCAATCAGGGCTAAATTTTTGCCAAGCCTCTCAAAACCGAGCAATCTACTCCAAGAGAATGTAAGGAAAAAGGATTTTAAAAAAATTGAAATCCAAAAAATAAGATTATGGCTTCTCATACCCCAAGATCTAATCCAACTCAAACACTGTGATCAATATAGCACCATCACCGTACAATAAGAAAGCACCAGTAACTTCTTATGCAACCTGTCGATTAGAGTATCTTGTGTCACAACAAGAGATTGGGCTGACATTCATCCGCTGAGGACCGAAGAGCGAATCAGACGATCCCACTTGGGTTTTTCCTTTTCTTAACGATAATTTTTTTCCTTTCACCTTTCGCAATATCCCATACATTTTGCTTTCCGAATGAAAAATAGATTATGTCTTTATTAAGGATGTTGCCTGAGGGGTTTGACACGTTCTCCATCACAACACCCGGAAGCCAATTGATTCAAATGAGAGAAGTCGCTGAGTAAATAAAGGAGGAGCCTCGTCTCACCTTATTTATAAGAATCAAAGGTACTAAAATAAATTAAGTTCAATAATTAAAAAATGATTAATAATAAATACAATTAATTTTTTTACATTAAACTCTCTTACACTTATCGCAACATTATTTTCAAGAAATAAAAGAATCAGAAAACTAAAATACGTACATAGAAAAATGCACAACACTAATCCTGAGGAGATCTAATTATCTAGCATGAAAGAGTATGACAATGAGGGCCCACGAAAAGAGCATGAGGCCTACTTGTCCGACCAAGTGAAGCTGTCTGAGTCATGCCAGTAAGGTCAAAACCAATCGAGCAATGAAGCACATAAAAAGATGATTAGATGATCCAAACCCAAGCCATTCGTCCAAAAACGTGACAAAGAGCTGTCTAAGCCAACCATTATGAGAAAGTCAATCCGAGGAAAGACCTAGTTAACAAGTATCTCCAATCATGTTAGAGATACCGAGAGGCTCCTCACCAGGGGTCAAGAATTGATAGTCGGACCATATCAACTAGTCGATCCATGTAGACCAAGCTCAGCTGACTGAACTGATCTCATCTGATCGAGGTGATATCATCCGACCGAGGAGATCTCAGCAGACCGAGTTGACCCTTCCAACCATAAACAAATTAAACTTATCCAACGAAGCCAAAGAGCAGTCAGGCAATAGACTCACATATGTAGAATACCATAAATACCCAAGTACGAGCCCCATTAAAGCTAAGGCAAAAAGTGAAACATCATCGTATTTTACCTTCCCTCTCTCTCTATTCCTTGTGTGTGTTTCACGGATTAGTCAGAATTCAACACAATTTATGATTAAGGTCATAACCACGAGCAACAAATCATTTTTTTAGGGGCCTTTACATACATATCACTAAACACCCATATATTTACATTTCTAAAACGTGAACTTGGTTCACACTTGCACCAACAAAATCTTTCATATCATATCAAATTTTTTTTTTTTACTTCTAAAAAATAAAACACCTATTTTTCTGCATTGATAAGGTCTTGTGTGCATTTATACATGAAAAATTAAAATTTATGTGTTAGATATGTAAATAAATAAGAATTGAGAGAAATGGATGTATATCGTCCTCTGTTTTTTTAATGAAGAACCATAAATCATAAAAAATGAATGATTTGAACCCGTGATTTTGGAGATGCAACCTACCTGTAATCGATGGACATTGCGTCCCATCCGCTATATCCAATCATATTCGTCGTTAATTTGTTCATCTGCAGGTCCCCATCACCATTGAAACATAAACTCATCATTGAAGGGGAAAAAAAATACAAAACCTATCATTTTGCACCCCATAGAAAAGTTCCGTCTGTTAATTTGAATATTTGATTAGAATAATTTAAATATTTTAAAAATATTGAAAATATAATTAAAATTAAAATAATTTTAAAATATTTGGTCAGATGGCTCATAAGAAAATGGAAGATGTGGTCGAATTCATCAAATATATCCTCATCTACACCAACCAACTTATAAATTCTGCAATATTATAAAAAAATATAAGACGGTCTATATAAACTCTCATTAAATCCTTTTGTATTTTCCTTATAAAAATCATTTAGATAAGATTATTGTTGGGTTTTTGACGTGAAACGATGAAGATTATTGGGGGATTATTGTGGAGGTTAATACAGGAGTTATTGAAATAAAACCACAAAAATTATTTGGGCGTTATTGGAGTTGAACCATAGAGGTTATTAGGTGGTTATTGATAGGGCTGTCAAAAAAACTCGTTGTTCGCCAACAGTTTGTGTTTGGTTCGCTTTGTCAATGAGTTCGTGTTCGATTCGTTCGATAAGTAAACGAGATGAACGTGAACAAGTTTTTTTCGTTCGGTTAGTTACACGAACCAAACACGAATAATGATGTGTTCATTCGTGTTCGAATCGTTATTGTTCGAAATATAAATAATATATTATATGATTAATATAATATATTATTTATATATATTAATATTAGGATGTCAAGCTGGCTCGTAGTTCTTGAACAACTCTTGTTCGGCTCGTTCGTTAAGAAATGAACATGAACAGTAACTTCATGAACAATTTTTCATGAACAATTTCGCATGAACAATTTCGAACACGAACTTATTTCAAATAAACTAAATTTCAAACGAACCGAACACGAATATAAGCTCTGTTCGCTCGTGTTCGGTTCGTTTACACCCTAGTTAATGGGGATTATTAATAAATTATTCAAATAACCTACACAGTTTTACCCTAATAACCTCCATAATTTTTGAAAATATAAGAGGGAGAATATGAGTGGAGAAGAGAGAATCGAAGGCATTACTTCATCTACTGCGAAGGACACTCTCAAAAGCACAAAATAGCAGCATTACGATCATATAAATATCATTTTACTCCCTTTTTTATCCGACTTTTGCAAACCCTAAGTAATTGCCATCTGCTTCCGATCAGATCCATCCAAGCCGATCAAATCAGCTATCAACATTCGTAGCCACGGACCGATCCGTCTGTGGAAGAGAAGCCAACGCGGCATCCTGCGGTTGCCTCAATGTGGTGCGTGAAGTACATCAAAACCCTAACCCTACCCTTCACCCTCATCCTCGATTCCATCTCCATTATCCCTCCATTCGCCGACGCAGCGAGGGGAAATGAGCTTATGGGGAAGCTCGCTGACATGTATACCGTCTGGCCGCCAGCGATCTCGCCGGCAGGGATGTACATGAAGCCGATCTGGCCGCCGCCGTAGAGAACCTGGAGCGAGCTATCGTAGTGGGAGAAGGCGGCGCGATTAGGGTTGCGTACGGCTGCGTTCTGCGCGAAATAGAATTTTGCGGTGCCATTGGCCGAAGAGAACTGCGGGAGATTGACGGCGGAGATGTGGATCTCAGGGTCGCGGGGACGAAATAGAACGAAGAAGACGACAGTGAGGCCGACGGCAAAGATGATTATGAATCCGGCGGCGAGCGCACAGGATGCGATTATTGTTCCACCGCTGCCGTGGCGCTTGCGCAGGGGGAAGTGGTCTTGGGACTTTTCCATGGAAGAGCAGCTGTTAAGCGGTGTGGATGGCTCTGTTTCTCTCTCTCCCTCCTCTGTGCTGCGGTTGCTGCTTGATGTTTAGGGGAGAAAATGAAAGTGACAGTGCACACTGAAAATTACAGTGAATTTTAAAGGAATGTGCGGTGAAGATGGGAGGGTGCCCTACCTTGGGCTCGACCAACAGGCACGGGAGTGTAGCAATGAGTCACAAACGAGATTTCTCACATAATAAATGTTTATATATTTTTCGAATTGGATGCCAAAATCATTAAAACAAATATAAAGGCCAGCCAAAATGAAAAATTATGAGGCATTTATGTACACAAACTTTTTCTTATTTAATTATATATCTAATGTCAAAACATTACTTTTAATATTTATGTCACCCAATACTTTTAAATCAAATAAAATATATCACTATTTTGATTAAAAAATAAAATGCATCTTTTCAAATATAAACAAAATAATATATATATATATATGATAATAAAATATTATTAATTATCCCCTCAAATTCTGATTTTTACTTATATTCATTGTTTTACGTATACAGAAGGATAACTTGGTCTTTTGACCCTTGGAGGATAACTTGGTCTTTTGACCCTTGGTCTTTTGACCCTTGGTCTTTTGACCCTCCTGGAATATCACTTTACCCTTCATTACTCTAGCCCCGCCCACCTTAGGTCTAAGGGGGCAATTTTACCCCCCTCAAAAAAAGACAGGTTTCGCTCATGAATGTGAATCATTAGGAGTGAGCTAATATGCATGTGAATTCTCTTAAAAAAATTTCTTGAGTCATCACAATTGGTTTGTTTAAGTGAGAATGGTGGAGACATTGTTTAGCCCAACTCAGAAAAAATGGATATTACTATCAGAAAAGCTCTATAAAAGTTAAAAGTAAGCCACTTTAATGCAAGAAAAAATATAAAAAGTTGTCCGAAATAGAGGAAGTCTCTGAATTCTTATAGAGGTTCATTGAAAATAATTTTTTTATTAATTAAATAATAAAAATATAATTAATAATATTTTTTGTTATATTAAATTATTATGTTAAATTTGAATCGAACTGAATACAAGCTTTATGAGAACAAATAAGTTTCAATTGAGACGAACAAGAATGGACTAAGCGCGAGTCATTTCAAACACGAGTCGAAAACGAACAAAATAAAAGTCAAACTACCACAACAGAAGCAAGACTTGGGTTCCAGGGGACTTAGAACTGACTTTGAAGATGCAAACTAAAGAGTTACACACAACACACACACACACATATACATTGATACTTATGTATATACCTATACCTATACCCAAACTCTGTATCTGCATTGTTGAATCCAAATTTGTCCAGCGAGGCATGTTCAAAGATTGGACCGATAGGATTCCTGAGGGAGAAAAAATAAAAGAACATACGAAGACTTGTCTCGCAAGGGCAAACTGGGGTGTTTTTGGGCTCTTTGACCCATTTTATATATTGTAACTGAGAGTTATAAGAGAAAAAAATAAGAGAGATCTCCTTTCATAGTATGTGTCTATAGAGAAGAACCAAAAGACCCCATAATACATGTTATGAGCTCTCTATTTATCAGAGATAATTGGCCAAATATAGAAAATTTCATGTCTGCCTTTGTTTTAATAGGAGGTTTCAAGATATTATTGGCTTTTATTATGTTTTTTCAGTTTTGTAACTAATTTATGCATCTTTTTGTGTACCTGGACTTTTTGGACGGTAGATCCTCGAGTCGGTCAACTATCTTGTGTGTGTCAGTTGTCATTCGATCTGGGAAGCAGGTCAGCTTTGAGAACAAAATTCAATCTTACTTGTCCCTTGGGGATTTTTCAAGATCTTTGTGGGAGTTGTTGAGAGAGTTTCACATTGATACTTATGAGATTGTTGTGGGTACTAGACCTTTGTTCAGTCATTGCATGGATGACTATTTCTTGTCGACGTGGATGGACATTTGATCATTAAGCAAAGATTTGGTCGTCCGACAGTCTTTCCGTTGTCCCACGGCCCTTTCTTCATTTGACAACCCTTTTGTCATCTCACAGACCTTTAGTGGTCTGATGATACACCTAAAATATATAGTGTTTTTATACACATTTTTATGCCAAGTTTTGAGATATTGTGCTTTAATGAAAGTTATTTGTGCGTTTTTCTTTCAGGTACAATCAAATGGATGAAAAATGCTAAAAGAAGTGAAAAAGGGTCAAATTTGGAGTAAAAATGAAGAAATGTGCAAAAATGAAAGCGCCCAGAATTGGGGTTTAAGCACCAGGTACCCCGCACTTAAGTGCCAGAAGTACTTATGAGATGAATTATTTAATATATATGGATTTTTGAAGAGGTGTTTGAAGCAACTCTTGGTAAAAACGTGAGAAATAGCCCATGGAAATGAAAATTCATTCAATTGATTTTTGAGGAGGCAACTTCTAGAAGATTCATTAAATGAAAACACCTTTTAAATAGACATCAAGGCACCCCTTGGATTTTTATAAGAAAATACTATGATTTTCTAAGAGAGGAGGCCAACCACCCATCAAATTTACAACCATTGTCAATCTAAGTCGTCGTCGCCGCCGCCGCCGGCCACTTTTCTTTTTAGTTTGAGTGTTAGTTTGTATTGTGAGTGAAGGAAGAGATTTCAAAAGAACTTCAAGACATTTGGTGGAGATGATTTGAGATAAGTGTTAATCCTTGTGACTACACTTGGTTTTAATTTAGATTTCTTATTTGTGTGCATGATTTCTACTTTTAAACTCATGGGTGGTTGTGTTTTCTCCATGGATTCTGAGTAGTTTACTTTATCTTTTTTTCCTTAAAATGATAAGTGATTAAGTGTTGAAAGGAAGTTGTGTGAAGTATTAGGCTTCAATGTTGAAAGAAGTTGTGATGATTTGAAACATTGCAATTCATTTACTTCTTGATTTAGTCAATTAAGATGTTAATACCTATTGTGAGAACATGTAAGATCTGAGGTGGTATTGTCTCAGTCAAAAAATTATTAGAATCACATATTGATTTCATGAATGAGAATGTAGTTCATGTGGTTGAACACAAATAAATAAGGAAATAAACTTTTCAAGGGTGTAGAATTAAAGAACTTTAGAGTGACGGGCTAAAGCCCCTAATTTGATTTATAGTTTTAGGTTTTGATACGAGAGGTTACCCCCCAGGTAGAGGAAGAAGATACAACTCTAGAGTGAGAGCTAGTATCTTCCCTGCCTAGCCGACCTTTAAGACTATTCAAAATATATATTAGCCAATGTTCTTTATAGCATCTCTAGTAAGGGTAAATAATATTATTGCTCCTATTTAGCACAACACATTTAGAATACTTTCACAACATAATTTTTCTACTTATTACTGATTCATGATAAGAAAAAATATATTTTATTTATATCGCCTTCATCTTGCAAGTATTTAGTTAAATTAATTAGTTGCTTACTTTATTTTCATAAACCAAAAATTACAAAAAGAATTGAGTTTGCATTCCTATTTAAGCATCTTATGTTTAGGGAAGAATATTTTTTTAAGTAGATTTTTGTCATCTAGAATTTCTAAAATTTTAAATTTCTAAAAGCATGTAGCCATTTTTTCCTGTGGGTTTGATATTCAGAACTTAATCAAAAAGTTTTATATTACTTGATAACGATACATATACGTGCGTAGTATCCCATATTTAAAATTATAATTGTATTCTTTTTTGCTTCATAATTGAAAAATTACCTAACTTTTGCTTAGGATCAAATTTTTGGCTTTATTGCAAATTAAGAATAATTATTAAGGGAGTTAAACATATAATCACATACATCACATTTCACATATATATAGAAAGTCGGGATCCAGTTTTAGCGCCGTTGATGGGGAAAAAAAAGAAAAATACGAAAAATAACAAAAATTTTCAAAAGAAGTTTTTAAAAAGAAGTTTTTAGAAAGGGTTTTTAGAAAGGAAAATTTCTATTTTTACAAAATCTTATTTAAACTTTAAGATTTATTTTAGGAATATTGTAGTGTCGTTTTTATATAAAGTTCTTATTTGTATTTGTGTGTTTTTATTTTATTTTATGTGTTTTATAGTAATGTATATGTAGTTCAGGTTCCACAGGACTTGTGCCATGATTCTGAATTAGAAAGAATTATTAGAAAAATTTTAAAATTAAAAATTACTAAAATTTTTAAGAAATGACAAATCAAAATAGTCAAAATGTTGAAGAATTTAGACCTTTAAGAGATTATGCAAACCTTACGATAGAAGAACTTAATTGTAGTATTCAAATACTATTGTAGTATTCAAATACTTAGTATTCAAATACTCACTGTAGTGGCTAAATCATTTGAGCTTAAACCTATTATTATCCAAATGGTATTAAATAATCAGTTTGGGAGAGCACTAACGGAAGATCCAAATTTACATTTTGCCAATTTTCTAGAATTGTGTGCTACATTTAAATATGATGGTGTATCAGATGATGCTATAAGACTTAGATTATTTCTTTTCTCACTAAGGGATAAGGCTAAGATATGATTACATTCGTTATCACTTGGATCTATCAAAACTTGGAGTGATTTAGCACATAAATTCCTTGCAAAATATTTTTCACCATAAAAACTGCAAAGCTTAGAAATGATATTACATCTTTTTGTCGATATTACATCTTTTTGAATGATATTACATCTTTTTGTCAGTTTGAAGCGGAATCTATTTATGAAGCATGAGAACAATTTAAAGAACTCTTAAGAAAGTTTCCACACCAAGCTATACTAAATTGGTTAATAATTCAAACTTTTTATAATAAATTAGTTGTATCCCATAGATCTATTATCGATGTTACTGTTGGTGATTCATTGATGTCAAAACCATTTCATGATGCTTATGCTTTAATTGAAGAGATGACTACAAATAATTTTCAATGGCCTTTTGAAAGGGAAAATCTTAAGAAAGTAGCCAATACTTACTTCACAAAACTGGTGCTTTTATCATGCTAGCAAATCAAGTTGTAGCATTTTCAAGGAAGTTAGACCAATTTGGAATGAATTTTTATCAACAAATTCCCATGATTGAAGAGAATTCATTATACCAAATGATAGCACCATTAGAGACTTTGAATGCTATAAATAATAAGTAGAATAACCCATATTCAAACTATTATAATCCAGGTTGAAAGAACCATCTCAACTTTAACTGAAACAATACTTCAAGTGGTAATA